AACTGCTGATGGAGTAACCCCTTTCACATTAAACTGCATCTTACAATATGAAAACTATTTGAATATTTCCCATTTCTAAATACAGGTTGTGTGAAATACATCCATTTCTTCATTCTTTAAATATATTAATGGTCAATGATTTTCAAGGTACCACAATGGGACTCTGCTGGACAGGAAGGTGTACAAGTATGAAGAGGACCTTGTGCTGCGAGAACTGAGGATGGAGCAGTCAGGACAGTATTACTGTAAAACCAGCAGCTCTGCAGGCAGCATCAAGTCCACTCCAGCCTCCCTCACTGTGATTGGTATGTACAATCCAGCACTTCGTCTTTAGAGACCATCACCTAAAGTTAAAAGGGCAATGTGCAGGACAGGATCTACCACCATAATCTGCTGGTTTTGAGGCAGCTGAGAAGACATATGCTCAAAACTAAGTCAAAAAGATACAAAAACACCCTTTTAGTAAATGTCACAGCGATGTAATTCATCATCATCAGCCAAGAGAGAAAATAATTTACAATGATGACAGCGAGCAGCACAAAGGGATTATAGATTCGGATGGCTGCTATCCCAGTGGATTTGACAGTGATGTAGTGAGTCAAAGTTCTACACAGATTCAAGTCGAACCGCTGACAAAAAGCTAGCGACCGCAATTCATTTCACCGTATACAGAGCAGCTACCTCTGAGATTGAAAACAGTCTGTAAGAGGAATGTCAGCGCTGAGCTCCAACTAAGTCAACCATGAACCATGTCCATGCATTAAGAGGATTCAGACAAAACCACAGTGTCCCACAACTGAGGTAGAGAAAAAAGTCAGTTAATAGATAGAAGAAAAACACATAATATGCAAAGAAAATTGGAAAAGAAAATCAGGCAGGACACGGAGGAGAATGTTTTCAGGCTGTTTACAATGGCTGAAGCTATGGTCTGTCCAAACAGATTCTAAATTGTGCAAGATTGCTCTGGACACTGTGAAACCATACACCCAATTTCTCAAGAAAACCAAGTGTTGAGGTGTATTCTTTGATTTGATTATAAAATATGTTTTCCAAATGATTTCCACATCCATGTAGGAAAAGTTGCACATTGCTTATATCTTCCAGGTGTTGGTTGGCTATGACACCGAATAACAAACTGTGTTTTTCTGTAGGAGTGTTAAAGTAATCAACTCTGCACTCAAAATGTCATAATGACAGCAGACTATATGAGTGTGTCTCAGAGCAGGATTATAAACATGTCTCACCTCTTCACCACAATATGCTTATCTTCACAGTGTATATTAAGCAGAGGTGAAATTTGTCTTGAATCACACAATTTATTCAATAAATGAAGGAAACGTTCTTGAGAAATCCATCAGCAATATCGTAATGATATTTCATATGCACCTAACTGCTTCATTGGACTGCAATTATCTCTGTAATGGGAAGATGGAAGGCTTAACAAGGAGAGTCAAGCTTTGTCTTCAACACAGCATATCTGTTATTATCAGCGAACCTGTGGCAAAGTGACTCCTCACAACAGTCATTTGTGCAGTTTTCATGTATATCTGATAACCAATCTATATTTTATATGTATCACATTAACACTAACTTGATGTTATGTATCATCTAATTCACAGCAAAAGGAACACCAGCATGCAATTCTACCCCTGAGATGCACCTCATTAGACTGCCAGTGGACTGTGTTCAACCTGGGACTGACTCCAGGTTCTACAATGCTGGCCGCTGTCCTCACAACAAATGTGCTGGCTCTCTAGACTTTGATACACGCTGCAGAGATGCTGCCGGATTCTGCTGTGGGGTTCAAAATATGGACAGTCGAATCATTGACTGTGGGAGCTACAGCCTCCCTATCCGGGCTGTGAAACAGTGCGGCTGTCAGAAGTGCATGCAGCCGACTGTGCTAGTTCGAGGCAGAGTGGTCACAGCTGACAATGATGAGCCTCTGCGCTTTGGGCACATCTATATTGGCAAAGAGAGGGTGGGCACCACTGGATTTCAAGGAGGCTTCACACTACAAATTACTCCTGATACACAGAGATTGGTGGTAAATTTTGTTGACCCCAGTCAGAAATTTCTTGACACCCCTAAAGTGTTCATCTTGGACAAGAAAGGTGGATCAATCTACCATGATGTAAAGGTAATGAGAAAGCAGATACCAATTGATATCAATGCAGGGGAGACCAACTCTATTAACCTAGGAGAAATTAAAGGGGAAGACCCCATAGGACAGCTGGTTATTCCTCCCAATTCCTTTCATAAGGACAATGGAGACATCTATGAGGGGACTGTAAAAGCCAGCGTCACATTCATTGACCCTCGTAACATCACTACAGCTGCTGCGGCACCTGGTGATCTCAACTTTGTGGATGATGAGGGTGACATGCTCCCTTTGAGGACCTATGGCATGTTCTCCGTAGACTTCAGAGATGAAACCAATAAGGAAGTACTTGGAGCTGGAGCAGTTCAAGTCCTCCTTGATACACAACATGTCAAAATGCAGGAGCATATTCCCAAAATGAAACTGTGGTCTCTAAACCCAGACACGGGAGTCTGGGAGGAGGAGAGTGACTTTTCGTATACAAAAACAACTGGTGGTCATGGACGCAGCAAACGAGAGGAGCGCACATTCCTGATAGGCAACATGGAGATCCGAGAACGTAGACTCTTTAACTTAGATGTGCCTGAAAACAGACGCTGTTACGTCAAAGCGCGGGCCTACATGAGTGATAAGTTCCTTCCGAGTGAACAGCTGGAAGGTGTTGTGATCACTTTGATAAACCTGGAGCCTAAGCCTGGATATTCATCTAATCCTAGGGCATGGGGCCGCTTTGACAGTGTCATAACTGGATCTAACGGGGCCTGTTTACCAGCTTTCTGTGATGCCCAGAGGCCTGATGCTTACACAGCGCATGTTACTGCAATGATGGGTGGGGAAGAACTCGAGGCAGCTCCCTCCTCACCCAAGATGAATCCAAACATCATTGGAGTGTCTCAGCCGTATCTGGATAAAATAGACTACCAGCGTTCAGACCACGAAGATCCAGCTCTGAAGAAAACATCTTTCAAAATCAACTTGGCAAAGCCTAATCAAAACAATCTTGATGAGACCAATGGGCCAATATATCCATACCAGAATTTATTAGATTGTGAAAATGCCCCTGTTGATGCAAATCATTTCCGATTCTTCAGAGTGGAAAAGGACAAGTATGAATACAACGTTGTACCTTTTGAAGAGAATGATTTGACAACCTGGACTGGAGACTACCTTTCCTGGTGGCCAAATCCCCAGGAATTCAGAGCATGCTACATTAAGGTTAAGATCCATGGACAGAAGGAAGTGATGGTCAGGTCACGGAATCTGGGAGGGACACACAGAGAAACAAAAGGCAAACTTTACGGTATTAGAGACATTCGCAGCACCAGGGACATGCGAGAGGCCAACACATCGGCAGCCTGTGTGGAGTTCAAATGCAGCGGCATGTTGTTTGATCAAGCTGATGTGGACAGATCCCTCATATCAGTCCTTCCACAGGGTAACTGTCGCAGGATTGGCACTAACAGCCTCATACAAGAGTATCTCATCAAACATCCACCAGTCGCTCAAAACAACGAGTCCCATGCATTCACCATGCTAGCTCCTGTTGATCCTCTAGGACACAACTATGGGATCTACACCGTCACAGACCAGAATCCCAGGGTGGCCAAGGAGATCGCTATTGGACGTTGCTTTGATGGCACCTCAGATGGTTTCTCCAGGGAAATGAAGTCAGACTCTGGAGTGGCGCTGACCTTTAGCTGTCCTGAGAGGAAAATTAACAGGGAAAGCCTCTTCCAGCGCCTGCAGACCAATCCGGGTCAGACACTGTCTCAGATGGCAAGGGACATGAGGGAGTTGGAGGGTCTACAGGTGCAGAGATCATCCACCCAGGTGGTGGCCTATCCTTCAGAGCAACGGATGGGAACCCAGAGTCGCAGATTTAGCTCTACAAACAGGAGGAGAATGTCAATGCGCACACAGCAGCGCCAGTAGAGGTGCCAAGAGGTTGGTTTAAAAAAAAAAAATTATGAATATTTACAGTGATAGTAATATCAGAATGATTCACGTGGTCTCTCTGTCATCTGATTTATAAAACATCAGCATTTTTTCAGCATAAACACTTTTTTATGCTGAAAAAACTAAATCTGATATGTAAATTCCTTTTCATTTCTAAGTATTCAGCTGAAACTGATATGATGGCATCAAGTCAAGGAAGTAAAAAGTTGTTTGTTATTGAGTATGAACTCCCCCTTGACTATGAAAATCAAGATACCAAGAGAGACAGTAACTCAGCAAAATCATCAAGTATGATTGAAGATATTCATTAGTTTTATACTTGAAGGGATTGATATATTAATTTTTTACTTCTGTTCTAAAAGACACACATAATTTGTGTAACTGTAACACAGTGACTGACATTTATTTAATTGGCTTTGGTCTAATTCTATGAATGAATAGACCAAACTGACAGTCAAGAATGTAACTTTTTTAGCCTTAATTTGTGGCCTTCCACTTTTCCCATGGTGGGTGTTTTTGCTGATGTCTCTTAATACTCTGGTTTAAACCAAACCTTCAGAAACTGTAAGAACTATGCCAGGCCCCAAACACTTCATAGTTGGCCCCTACTTTCCATTGAATGCATACTTTTTCGTCAAGATCAGGATGAAAAAACCACGAGGTCCAGTTGTCTGCACCAGACACTTTTTCTTTCCTCTTTAAACTGGGTCACTCTCTCCACCAAAAGAGAAGACACACTCGAAAGAGACAGTGGGGCAAGGTTTTTCACCCTGGGAACAGAGGATGTTTTCAGACATGCTTCTTTATGTTTTTCATTAGCATGCCACATTGCCAACTGTGATTCAGCTAAATGTTCTTCCACACCTACTTAGAATGTGCAAGACCAAAGCCTCGGCCAGAACAAGGATCTCACTAGTAGCAGTATAAAATCAGGATAATTAACCACAACGGTATGACCTATTTTCCCTTTGTCCTCTGCACATTACAAATTAGCACATCACCAAAAAACAAGTTTCTTAAAGCAATATATTTCCTAGTGTTTAACTTTCTCAGAAACTGTTACAGAGGCTCATTCAGAGTCTAACTTGACTTTTTGTTGTTGTTGGGTAATTTGTCTATGAGCTGCATTTATATCACGAAGTGCAATAACTATGTAGTATAATTTAAAAAATCTGCATGTAACAAACTAGCACGGTGCATGAAAAATGCTGCTGGTGAATGAAACAGCTCCTTCAGTACATGCAGCAGGTACAGTATAGTGTGGGTAAGATGTTTGTAAGAGATCTTGCACAGGACTCATTTTGAGTGACTTTATTTCAGCAAATAGAATTAACTGTTATGTAATCATTTTCTGAGCTGCATAGAATCTATTAACCTTTCCATGCTTTGCCGCATGAGTCAGTTGTTTGTACAGTTTGTACACCACAGTAATCTTTTCAACTTCAGAGGGCAATCTTGTTATTGGGAATTAAAACGCTCAGTAGAGCCTTCATCTCATTAACAAAACCCACTGTCTCAAACTTGAGCGTGATCGTTAATAAGTCTGGTACTAATGAAGTTCATGGCACACACAGTGTAAGCAACAGTATCAATCAATTCAAAGCGTACATTTTTGAGGATACGTTACATGACTTAGATGAAAAAATAACTGGGTATTTAAATTAAAGTCAGTAATAGGAAGAAACTTCACTCATTGATAAAAGCTCCAAACTTGTTTATCTGCAAAATGGGCTCTGGCAGACCCATGGGAGAAGCTCTTCAAGCTGAACTAATCCGAAGCCAAATAACACGGCGCATGGTCCATAGAGAAGCCAGAGAGGCTGATGAGTAAATATAAGCCTGTTGTTAATTAGAAAATAAATTACTTATTCTCTTGAGAACTCCTGTAGCAGTTTGCCCCTGACTTTCATAAACAGCCAAACATTGTAATTTCAAGGAAAAAAAGGATGAAGTAAAGTAATCAACAATATGGACGGCCTAGTAGGATTATGGTCAAACATATTTACCAAATAAACTGGCATCCAGCCCAGTACAGTTTGTGTTTCCAGCCTCATCATTTAAGCCTGAATGAATTTATATGAATAGTAGGCAACTGCTTGTGTGTGTTAAAATTTGCAAATGTGAGGTAATCTAACTGAAAACCAACCAGGACAATAAACAGAAAAATACTGACAGCTTGTGATACCTTAACGATTATCACTGACCCACTAATTATAGGCCAGTGGGCCGTCCACAGGCTGAACAGTTCATTTCATCCAAAATAAAGACGATGATGAAATCCAGGTGTGGGAAGAGATAAGTCCTATAAAAAATGCAGTGGTGTGTGAGGTCAGTTGAGAGGGCCGAACAGCTGTAGAGCCACTGGAGGAAATGTTATACCAAAGACATCAAGAGAAAGAGAGTGAGATTATCTTGCGATGGATTTAATCATTTTCAGGGGTACTGTCGGGTTCAAGGAAGGAAGGAAGGGAAGAATATTAGTCAGTTTTGGCCTCACTGTCCATCACATACAGAATCTCAGGCTTCCAAAGTGGTTGCACATGGAAGAATGCAGGTTTTTGGAGGTGAATGCTTTGACAGGAGATCTGGCTTATTCATAAGGAGAAGTTATCGGGGGAGTTTGAAGGACAAGGTAACAATAATAGGCTGTGTAAACCATTATGTGAGGCTTTGCATGGGGAAGCAAGCAGGACTCTCCAAACAGTTTCTTTGTCTTCTGGAGAACTTCAAAGGAGGATTAAAGAACCTCTGTGATGTTTGGTTTAATGATGAAGAAAAAAAAAAGTTTCCAAAGTCTTCAAATGTCAATAAAAGAGGTTTCAGCCTGAATCCAGTGAATAAAATCGTTGCACAGATTAATTTTTAATGGAAAGAAAAATGTTTATCTCAATGAACCTCTGTGGGAATATTAATCATAACATTTTATATTTCATTTTGCTCTCTTGCAAATAGGCATATTTCAGAAAATGTTGAAAGTTAGATGAGATCAGTGACCGATCGCATGTTTGTACGGGAAATTTGAAGCTACAGTCAACAGATGGTTGGCTTAGCCTGACATGAAGACTGGAAAGTGTGCACACATGAGAGCACTATCAATCTTCTCATCTAATTCTTGGAAGAAAGTGAATGAGGGTTCAATTTTAATGAATAGATTAAACACAGGGCTACAGTGTTGCTTGACAATTGGCATTTTTATGAATAAAGTTTGTTTTTCTAAAGTGGATTTCTTCTTAAATATACAGAATCTCAGTGGGTGCACATGATGCTAAAAGCACTATTTCACTCAAGTGCAGAAAAGCACAAATCTCTCGTTCCACCACTTCATCACAAACAGATTTAACCATTTTCTCCTCTGTAAAGTCCAGCAGGTCTCAGGGAGAGCATAATTTATTCAGTAAGTCAGTCCTTGAACTTTTCCATCAATTTCTGGAGTATAAGAAGAGAGTTGTATATTTACCACTGTGCTCCAGTTAACGAATTACATCAACACACACTTGATAATCCTCTGTAAACACTTTACTATTGCATGGTGATGCTGATCTTTGTTTCTCTCTCTGCATTCAGTTTTAATATGTAAATTGTGTATTGTATGAAATCTACTATAATGGTACAAGAAACTGTAAATAAATGATTTTGTGTAAAGCTTTGATTCATATTTTTTCTCTTTGTGTATTATGTATTCAGGAAACACTAAAAAGTCATCAAAGTTTCAGTTTCACATCACTAAAGAAAAATAATAAAAGTGCTTTAATGATAAAAATACATTACAATGTTGATAACAGAATTATTTAATCTGTGATTGTAAATAATACAGAAAAAGAATTTTCATAAATCTCAATAAACAGTCTTCAAAAATAAAACAATGCCAACTGATAAAATGTGTGAGTTATTAGTGTATGTGGTCTGCAGATATGTAACATACTGGCTGGATACATAGTTCACACAAAAAACTAAGGAAGAAATATAAAAAAAATATCTGGACATGTGAAAATAATTATGGAAACATTTAGTAAAAGTCTGACATGAGTGCTGGTTTCCTTAGTAACACTAATGGATTGTTGTGACAGAATGTAAATATGTAATTCTCCTGGCTTATGCAGAATTCTGCACAATGTTTACATTGTCTTTTCTACTGATAATGAAAATAGTTGCATCTCCAGTGTGTATTCCCTTCACCCTCCAGGTGATAAGTTATAATGCACACAGTGAGGCGTCTGCAGCACATTTTTAGGCAGCGGAGTTATTATTGTAATAAAAAACGCACAGCAGGGAACATGACAGGGAGGAAAACGAGTGTCGAGCCACACTGACACCTTCTCGACTGGGCTCAGTGTGTCTGACAGAAAATATAGTGAGTGACTGTTCTCACCACGAAGGAATAAAGAAAACACACTTGCATCAGTGCACACACACACAAAGCTAGAAAAACACATTTCTCTTGAGGCAATGGTGCATTTCAGGTCATGAACCTACCTCCGGCGCCTCGCCTAAATCCCATTGCGTCAGTAACAGACAAACCTGTTTGTGAACGGGCCAGAAATGGAGAGAAATGGCTGATGGAGACACCTTAACACCGGAGCTTCTACCAGGCGTAATTGCTGTGCCCTTCATGTGTGTTTGACTTGCTGGAACTCTATTTAGGTTAAACAACTGGAATTCTGAAAGAGTTTCTGTTGCAAGACATCAGTGGAATAAATGTCTAAATGTATCCAAAGGCCACAGCTCAGCCAGTGCGAATGTGTCTGTGAGGTTCGACAAGACCAAACCGCGTATGAACGAGTGACGGTTGAGTTTGGTAGAAGTTGAAAGAAACCATCATTATATTATTTCACGGTTACATAAAAATTCTTCCATTGCAAATTATGTTTTGCTTATTCCAATATGTACTGGTTCTAATTTTGTACCACAAGTGATAATAAGCATCTGCATCAAGGCAGCATTCATCAGATTTTATTGATCTACTATGTATTTCTTTCATATTTTTATTTTCAATTGCATTTACATATCAACAGACTGTATTTTGCATAATGTTTATTATACTGATCTAATAACACAGATAAAAGAAAATACTTCATTGCTGGTTGCATGGAAATGTATCACTTTGCAGTTATGAATTTTGCAATAACTACGTGGACATGTAGAGAGTTTGAGAACTAAGGTAAACTGTCTTTAATACCTTTATGGAAGTTGGGTGGGTTTCAACTAAACATGTGAAGGCCTTACAAATGTGACTACTTACTTATAAATGTATTCACACTGTAATATTTGCATTGGATGAAATAATATCTTTGTCAAAAAGCCTTAAAAATGTAGGAAATAATCAAGTGAGACAATTATTTTTTATACAGTCAATTATAAAATATGCTGGTTCAATAACATCTGCTGAGAAAAGTAAAATGTTGTGTTTTTATGTTTCATTTTTGTGACTGTGTTTTCAAGGTAAGCAGTGAGTTTATTGCCCTCCACGCTCAGTGTCTGTGATAAGACTCTACCTGGAAATCCAGTAACAAAAACTCTGAGACTATTCAATGAAGTCATGTCCTCTTCAGACAGTCTCCCCGATATCGTCCTGAGTTCACGGCAATCAAAGCAGAAGCGGTTCTGAGAAAATGACAGATAAGGCTTAGGAATGTTTCGGATGGCTTGGGTTTGTGGAACAAGTCTTCAAAAATAGCTGCGGTCTTACCAATGGTCTGAAGGATGAAGCAGCTGCGGCTGAGGTTGTTTAGCTTTTCGGATCTGCGGGAAAAGGCAGCAGGGAGAGACGACTGGCGTGTTTCACGTACACGTTGCCGTCCTCCAGTTTGACCTCATACACTTGTTGCTGAAACAGTCAAAACAAAGACAGAAGAGCTGGGAGCTGGAAAAGAAACGCACCATCTCGAGCTTCTGTGGAAGCATGACAGCACCTTCATGTGTCAGAGTACAAATCAACTTGTGTTGTATTTAAGTTAAGAGTAAATCCTCTAGTGAAAACTCAGAATATTTGTTTTAACATTTCTTCTTCGTCGTGCACAAAAGACACAACAGATCCTGAAAATGATAAATGGAAAAGAGGAGGAGATGTTTATGGAAATAAAAGCTCTTGTTTGGGTTGTTCATTGATTCACTCATCAGAACAGAGGAGGAGAAGAAAACACGTTTGACAGAACGAAGGGGGAGAACATAATCTTAACTCTGAATGATTTTGATCAGTAGAACTTCCAACCACTGATAAAAGAGGACGATGTGACTGATTGTTCACATAAACTCCAGCCTCATGGGTACACATTAGCTTTTTATCTAAAAGGTTTGATTAAGCACAGATTTTTAAGTCTTATTATGAACTATATGAACACTTTACCAAACAGTTGATCGGTAACACAGTGTTAGTAATGTATATATATATATATTTGTACTAATTCCGATACATTTATCATTTATTTGCAGTACTTCTTTGACGCAGTACTTTTACAGTGTAAACACAGCTGATTTTCTCATGGTAGAGTCATGGTGTATTCATTTCCCATTCATCAAACTTTGTATACTTTTTCACAAGAATATATAATGATCAACAGGAAGCATGAAGGACTCGTTTCATCACTGACCTGTAATGAGGTCCCTGACTTCCCAGTCCTGAGGTCAAAGTCATAGTCATGCCAGGGACAGAAAACCTGCAGGACTCCATCAGCCTCCTCAATGTCCCCCTCACATAGAGGACCACCTGGTGGGAGACAGGAAGTATATTTTCATAATAAATGACTTCTGCTTGTCTGTTTTCCTATATAGGTAAAACATGTGATTGTGAGACTTGCATATAACATGGTGTGAAACAGATGCTCCTGTTTTTTATTTTCTATTCTTGGTGAGAAGAATCAAAACAAAGACAGTCACATTTAGATGTAGGTACAGCTGGAGTCGTGTAGTTGGCGCTGTTTCCTCTCATGCTGCACATTTAAAAATCTTTTATATTTACAGAACTGGATCAGGCTGTAATTCACCTAAAGGGTTAATGTAAGCGAGTGTGTGTGTGTGTGTGTGTGTTGTCTCTTTACCGGAGTGTGAGCAGCGAGCATCCATGGCGAAGAACTCCCCCTTCACACAGAAGAGGCCCACGTCAGAGTCGTGGCCGAGGGAAGAGTACATAAGACGGCAGCGCTTCTTGGAGAGCTCCGAGGCCGAGCCGATGAGTCTCCATGAGACGCCCTCCGTGGTTCCCTCTTCATCCCTGCAGCCAGAAGCCATAAAGAAAGGAGGAACTAGCTGCTTCTCTAGATTTCTAGTCTTTTTTCCGCCGGTGCAGACACACGTGGCAGTTCGCTCGCTGCAGATAGTTCATATTCACCAGCAGGCCGCCCGGCACCACCGTCAGCTGTGCGGACTGACAGCCTCCATCCACCCGCTGAAGCCTCACTGATCCGCGGCATCGTCACACTGTGGCAGCGGCGCACTAGTGGCCGCTCTGTTCCAGCTGCTGCACATGTGGATGGTTGTTTGTCAGTAATCATAAACCCGCAGCACATATATTACTCACATAACAAATAATAGCAGAGGTTTATTGTTTGCACATGCAAATATGCAGTTTGTATAAAAAAAAATTTTAAACTCAGCAACCTGCTGTTTGTGATCAGTCAACACGTTCCACTTACAGTAAAGAGCTTCATGTAGAGACCAGACCAACGCAAAGAAGTTACGTTTTGGCAAAAATAATTGATTGTAAACAAGGTTAATGGTGAAAGGTTTACAGGCAAAAATTGACCAAACACATGCAGGCAGAGGGTGAGAACTACACACACAGTACAATACAATACAATACAATACAATTTATTATTATTATTTACTAATCCCAAAGGCTTTTTGGTTTAGGACCAACAACAAGATACAGACATGCACTGAAAAACTTGATCTAAAACAATAAGACACAATAAAAGATCTGTTCAGTTGTGTTGAGCAAAAAGTGCAATTTCTTTAAAATAATAAAAGCTATAACAAATAAAATAATTAAACAATTTACATGGCATCTGGAACTGAGTGTGGAGAACATGGGTTGTGTTCCATGATAAGTTGCTTTCAGACATGCACTGAACTCAAAAGATCGTCTGGATGGGCTGTACGTGTGAATACAAATGTCAGAATGAGTGCCTCTGGACTTCTGCAAACTTTCCTTGGCCAAACTCTGGAGAATGTTCGAATAAGCTCATGTGAGAACAGAGCACGAGATCATCTGGATCATTCACCTAGAGCAAGTGGGTGTATTGATCCTAACGTGCAACAGATGCAAGTATAATAAAAAAAAAGAATACAAATATCTCAGGATGAAAAAGTGGTGCCACACACGTAGAGGACACAGATGAATTTGTCAAGAGACTTATGATGATAAGGGCCAATGCTGGTGGTAATGTACTGTAAACAAAAACGTGATCTCTGCACGGACTCTGGAGATTTCTGTGTTGTTGTGAACACGTCCAAGCAGAGATTCTATGGTTCTATGTGTAAAAGACAAACTCCAGAGAAAGTCCGGAACCCAATTCTGTGGTCATCCTCCAGAGATCACGTCTGAAAACAGCTACTCTGTGTGAAATGTGTGTTTATTAATGGCCTAATGGGTTGGGTTGTGGGTCATATGTTAAGGGTTCTAGGCAGGTCTAGATATGTCTTGGAGATTATTCCAGGTAATGGTTCCAGTCTGACGCAAAGCGGCTGCAGGTTTGCTAAATCGATCTGTGCTGGACTCTGTTGTGGACTACTGCCCATTATAAATACATATATGATTATGAATGGACCCAGACAGACCCTTCCTGTTCTTTGATCAACCTGCGACATTAACTCATTGTTTTATTTTCTAACAATGCAGCTTTGCAAACAAACCCACTCTCTCCAGACTATCTTGGTGGCCTGCTGCATTTATTGAAAACACTTAAATATACAGAGGATTGGACTTGCTCCCAAACTTTGTGGTAAATGGGGAAGATTACTTTTTTATGTACTGTGAAAATATTTCAAAGTCATTTCTCAATTATCAGTTATAAAGCCTGTTATTGTTCTCTCATGGCAGACTCCATACTGCTCCGTGCTCCAGACAGGTATTTGGCTGCATGTCATCAGCCTGCAGTTTTTTTCCACAGTGCAGTTTCTTAGCATTATTACAAATTGTTTGTGAACTCTACGTCTCTGCCAGTGATTAAGACGTCGAGCCTGCAAGTCAACCGTGTGATGTTGTCTCTCACTGCAAAAAACAAAATCCAAGGTTGATAGAATAAAACCAAACCTTAGAAAGATCCATCACAGATCAGCATCTCGAACTTCTCCAAACTGTCAGTTTAGATTGAATAAGATATTTACCATGTGAGCCAGAGTATTATTTTCACCAGGGTCCTTCTCTATCTCTGACCCAATAGACAGATTATCAACAAAATTCGCTAGAATATTCCTCGGGAAGGTATTTTCACATTTTATGGTTTCGAGATGGCTGCTCAAATGTCAAAGCAAACAGAAACATGGTTGAAAAAACACATTTCCACAAGTCTAGACAAACAATCGCAAGTGTGCATTTACTTATAGAGCCACATAGCAAAATTGTTTTATGCCCACATCCCATATCCGTCCCTCATGCTGCATGGAATGATGGCACTTGGGCAGTCCCCTGCTGTTTGACACATCTTGTCCACAAGTAAGCAATAGCAATACAACATGTCAACCAACAGTGCCAAAGGTGGCCTGAATTTGTTTTGTGTTATTTGGGCCATATTTACCATTTACCAAACAGGCCCCTTTAAGTTCACTTCCGGATTACACCTCGCCTAGAGGACAGCATATTTGCCAAAAAAGGCCTTGATTTTTTGTAGGATATTTGGCTTTTAAATTTTTTACTTACTGTTTGCCTTAAATTTTCCATGTTTAACTTGTGAATTCACCTTGTAACTGTGCTTTGAAAGGTGCTTTATAAATAAGCCCAATTGATATTTATCAGAAAATGATTCCACATCGTATGATTAGAATAGAACATACAACCTTTATTGTCACTGTACAAAAGAAAAGAAGTGCAATTAATTAAGTGGTGCTGCCTCTAAAAACATTGCAAAAAATATATTTATTAATTAATAACAAAAAAAAAAATATATAATCCATGTATACAAATGGATTTAAGTTGGACTTATAAAACTTAATATATGTATATATTTTGTTGGATATATAAAACTTTATATATATATATATATATAGTTGGATATATAAAGTCCAACTATGGAAAATCCCCTCCTACTTCCCCTCCTTTCCTTTCCTGGTCTACTACTTCCTCCTGTGGCTCCACCCACAGAAGTTACATAGGAGGCTAGCTCACCTGGCTCACTCTGAACAAACACACCTGGCTGGCCACATGGTGCAGGCCTCATCCTTTCAATCCTGGACTCTGTACATGACCAATGTGAGTTTTGCTTGTTTGATGGTCCCATAGTGAACAGATTTGATTTGTATTCATGATAAACGTGTTGATGTGTAAGTAATGGTTTAGTTTTTTTTATGTTAGTAGTAGATTTGACAACATATAAGTTAGTATTCAGGCTATGATTGTTTGTTAGCTCATTTCATGGAGGAATGTGGGCTATATTGTTTATATATAGTTCATTATATTCAATGATTTCAATGATCGGATTAATCCTAAATAAAATAATGGATTGACCACCACTGAGATAATATTAAAGGATTACAGTACTTCACTAATAAATCCAAAATGACCTAAACTGACTACTAAACACAATATAACCTTAATCTTGCATTGATTGAAAAATAATTATTAATCATGTGGTAAAAATTTCACAATGATGTGATTAGGAAGTCATAAAATTAGCTCATATTGTGTAGCTCTGCATTAACTTTGGAACCATCACATTAAAGGCATGATCTACACCTTTTAGATTAAACAATCCTTTTTCATCATATTGTGTAATAAAACAACAAATTTATTACAATAAAGTTAGCATTGTCTGAATGTGGTATATGCAATGTGTGCGCCAGTATGCATCATCCTGTTTTTTTCTCTTATATATATATATATATATATATATATATATATATCTGTTTATCTTTAAGTAAGATTAACACAAATAATCACCAGTGTATAAAACTGTCCTTTCTAGTAGTGTTGAAGTTGAGCTATGTGCCACCTACAAATTTGTCCACTTGGCAAATTGCAAAAAAACAAAGACATGCACGATGATCTGTGTTCCCTCAACTTTTATTCACTTTGTCTCCAAGGCTTTATTGTGCCAGTAATGATGCTGCTGGCAGTTTATCCTGTAAGTAATGTGAGTTACTGTCTAGACTGGAGTGATGCATAACAGGGGCTATTTGTTCTGATTCCTGACTCTGAGAAACACACTCATGTAAAGCTGCAGCGTGAGTGCAGATCAGAGCGGTAGTGCCGTGAAAATGTGTCATGGGCAGGAAGAGAGAGCGCTACTGCGTCTTGTCAGAAGTTGGATCCCAGAAAAAGTGAATGTGAAGTGAAATCACTGAAGACCAGGCAAAGCCAGTGTAAAGAAACATGAGCTGAGTGACGGAGATCTCAGATATGTTGTGCGCTAAGCTAACAGCTTAAACAGACAGACAGAGAGGTTATAACTCATTCTGCACAAGTTTCCACTTTTGACCTCTAAAACCTTGATATGTAGATGTATTAAGTGTGAATGCTGACGAGGCATGTGTTGTACTTGTGCAGAACATGCCAACAGTTTGAGATGAAATCTAAGCATTTTATGTAATAGTGTTGTGGTAATTTTTTGTGCTCTGTCTTATTCATTTCTCAGTAGGACCTTACATACTGCAACATTGTTTTTTTTGTTATTTTCAGTCAGTCTGCGTGAAATCAGGTAGACGACCAATAAGTGTGGCTTATTAGCCTCTGCCAAATGACCGCTACTGAACATAAATTAATTTTTCAAGGACTTTATATTTTTATCCACATTTGTTTGTTAGCAGGATTACAAAGATTTTAATATAATTAACATTGTGAAATGTGTGTTTTTCAGGGACATACTTAGGAGGTTGGTATCGATGAGTGTGTGTTCAAAAAAGTAGATCTTAGACACTCAACCTAAGGGAGTCTTTGGGCCTTGGCAGAGGTATGCAGTGAGTGTCATGTCACTTCATTGACAGTTTACATTTAAATCGGTAACACAGAAATAAAGTTTGTCCAAATTCAAGTTAACTGGTTATATTACCAAAATTGATGGCTTTTGTTTGAAAAATCTAGTCCAGTTGTGTGTTTTTTAAGTTGGTAAACATTTAGCTTTTTCAGTGCAAATGAAAACCCATATAACTATTAGTGAAACCAAGCTGGAGATATCTTGGCCTGCTGAATATCACAGGTAGGCATGAATCACACAGCCCCCTCTCACACAGCCGGGTTAAACTGGAAAATCACCAATGGTATTTATTTTCAACAGCGCTGCCAAGTATTACTTAATACAGGGTGAGGTTCTGAGCCTATAAAATGGATCATATAGACTTTCAGCCAAATAGCTGTGGAGTGAGGTGAATGGTCTGCGGATTCAAGGTGGCACTGACAAACTTGACAGTCATCACCTTCAGGTTCACTGTGGCACCTTGAGAGGTGAGAAAATGTCCTGTGCACATGCTGTGAATGTAATTAAATGAGCTCCAGGTGATTTGAGTCATTAGAGAAAAAAAAGAGAAATACAGAAATTTAAATGATGTATTGTGGAAAGTTTGAATCAACAGGCTGGATGGGATTAATAAACAAAGCTGCAGACAGTGAGGAAAGTGCCAAAATGATCACAGGGGGATTGCACTGTCCATAAATTTCTTTTGACTCCTCAATGCCGCATCAGACAGGGTAGCTATTTGCATGGGGTAGATTTTAATGCTGAGAAAATCTGGCTCCGATGAGATATTGGACTGAGAGTGGAGCCCAAACTCATCCATCATTAGTCTCGCCTTGTCTACAACCCAGCAGCCACCCTCAAAAGTCTCTTGACTCATCGGCCAAGGATGGATGGAAGACCAGCTCTCCAGCCAGTGTGGTTTTCATTAGCTTAGCAAATGTTTCGGCCAAACTCAAAACACTTCTACCTGCTTGCTTTGCTGCTTGTTCTTAGAGATACCATCATTCTGATGCTTCTTGTGAATTTACCCATATGATGATGGTGTGATTTAAAGCTTAGGAGGAGCTCAATAGATAAGACTGATTGTTTGGTACCTGATGACCTCTACACCCGTGCAACATGAAAAGCCATACTGTCATTATGTCACTTCAAATGCAAATCCAGACTGAACTTTGATGTTTGGTGGACAGGAAACTGAAGCCACAACTGGCTCCTGGGCCCAGTCCCAATGTCTGCCCTCATAGACCTGCATTCCCAATAAGCTCGAGGTTCAGCACTGTCCTGCTGTGAAAACGATAAGTGGTTGAGCGCCCTTTCATTACCTTTTTTGAGCTCCTCATGCACACATTAAGTCTTCAAGGCTGCTGACTCTGCTTTAAGGAATAAACCCGCAACTCCTGGTCTTTTAATGTTAAAACTGGGGATGACAAGTCTTCTGAAATTATGAAAAGTAGGTTTATATATAGCAGTAAGCCCTCTCTCATAATTCTTAATGTACTTGAATCTATTTTTACCAATAAATATCGACTTATATCTAGAAAGTGAGAAAAATATGCTGAATCCAATTGTCCATCTGAATTTGCAGACTGAGCCTTCACAGACGTCCCTCATACATTTCCTATGTGTTCATCGTCACACCCAGTCTGTGAGAGCACCAGACCACTAATGGATCAAATGTGCTGTGAGGCAGGATTATTTGTCTCAATCCTCTTGGTACTGACAGTGACAATTCATGCAGCATATGCACAGGGTCTGTTGTGTTACCTATGAGATAGAGATTGTGGGTATGTACAGAAAAGTTTTCCATTTTCCATTTATATGAGTTGTACTTCTTATGTTGCATTCAAGACAGAGTTCTGAGCTGCATGTAGCTGAGCATGCCCCACTAGCATTACCTGCAATACCTTTATTTTGTACCAAGTCTTTGCAACCTACAGTTTTAAAATCACTCATCCACATAGGAAAGTCATTGGATTGAGGCATAATTCAACCAACATATGACGCGACCACATTTTTAAGTCACAACAGCGTAGATCAAAACAGACAAATCCAAATTATTCAGCATATGCATATGTTGTGTGTGCACTGTTAAAGTTTCATACATCAACAAATGTATACATCAAAAGTGAAGTGTGTTTGAATTTACATGTGGTTGTTATTAACAAAGCTTTTTCTATAATCAAATCCATATTCCTGTAAACTTAATCTGAGGTCGGCAAACTCAAGCAGATTGTTTGGAATTCTGCAAAAAGTTCACTTGAAGACTTTCTTTGACTTGAATGGAGGATGCAGACAGTCCTCAGCTTGTTGGTGACTCTGCAAGTGTAGGGCAGTTCACTCAGTTTGGATTAAGCCAAACACTAGTCAAAATAACTACATGGGACTCAACCATCGGTGCATTTTTAACTTAAAGGTTGTAATACATTTAATGTAATGCAATTTAAATGAAAATCAATAAAGCTGAAGCTAAAGCCGAAGCAATGACATCTGAGGACTGGCTGTCTGTGAGGATGTTAAAACATTTCTGGATGTTTTAAAGTAACTACGACAAGGCCAGATTTCTCCCAGGGTGACTGATAGTGAGGGAGGGAGAGAGTGAGTAAAGCTGCACATAGTTCTACAATGAAGCAACAACGCAAAACACAAAGAGAGACCATATATGTTATTACGAGTGTGTAAATTAGTTTAGTTTCATTGTCAAACTGCAGTGGGACAAAATAGACTATGATGGGCCATTGATGGGAATCATTGACGATATAAAAAACACAGATTATACCCCTACATACATTTTTGCCTCTGGCTACAATGGGTTGTCTCATGAAACATGTAGGGCCCTTGCACACAGAAAAATTTATACTGATGACTTGTTGGGGAGGAACATGGAGCATTAGATCACTGGTCTTACATGAAAACATTATAAAAACATGCAATAATACAAAAATATGTTTATTTCTCCTCAGAAAGAAGGCACACAAATCAGTGCTTTGGGATATTTTAACATTTGTAAAGAGGTAAATCTTTCACTTTTGTGAGGAATGGAACGGACATATCTGATCTGCCCCTGATCTCGTAAAGGTTCAGTAATATTGAAACCTGGTTAACGGTGAGGCAACAGAAGGATCGTGCTCATAATTGTGTGTTCATGAGATCTCTCTTTGCGCCAGTGTCTCTGCAAATAGGATCATGTTTAGGAAACCTTGCACCAGCTGGACCTGTAAACCTGTAGAAACCTCTCTTATTCTCTGACTGTTATATGACCATGCAGGGCAATAACCAGATCTAATGATACGTGGAGTATTAA